CCCCAAAACCCCAAAACCCCAAAACCCCAAAACCCCAAAACCCCAGATAAAATATTTAAACTGAATCGTCCTCATAGATTTTCATTTTACAGATATGAAGCAGATGAAGGCTTCTAAGCCATTTCAGATTTCTAAAGTATCCAAAGTTTCTCAGACCCAGTACAGAAAGAAGACTAATAGCTTGAGGAATTGAAAGGTTGTCTGAGTGGTGGAGTTTATGGCGAATATATGTCCTAAGCCAACAATTTTTCATTGATAAGTATATCCCATTCTTACTAATTATGGTAACGAAGAGAATTTGGAATGAAATGAAGCACTAGCTGGCTTACTTCTTGATATTGCGGTGGGAAGAAGAAAGATTGGGGCATAGCTAGTGTCATATTTAGGATTATTTCTATTAAGAAGTCACTTTATGTGTATTCTTAAAATATGTAGCCTTCTCAATGGCAAAATGAAAGGGAATAGGGATTCATAAGAAATCTTTCTAGCAAAGCATTAGTTTTAAATCTTTTTCTTGAGCAAAAAGTTCTTTGGGTGATGTGGTTTAACATATAGTCAAAAGATGTTCTCATTTTTACTGCATTGGGGTTTTAATAGTATTTATAGGTCAAGGAAAATAATTGGGTGTCCGCAAAATCTAAGTCAATGTACAAGATGTCCCCTCTGTTTGTGAGTGCAAGCTCTTGGATGGTCATTTCGATAGATAATAAAAATCAATGCCTTCGAAATCACTCATTACACCAGATATAAAATCAAAGTTTAAAGCTTCAGTTGATCGGAGCGCTTCATGTGAAGGGACTCAAGAGCAGTCGAAAAATTATTATTCGAAGAATTATAGTACTGACGAGGAGTTTATTTTTGATAATTGAAGTTATTTTAACCTTTGCAAGGAGCCTCATTCGCGAAGGGAAATCGCTTCTCTTACTAAGATCATGACTTGCTACACAGTTCTCAAATTGGTTGAAAAATTTCATCTAAATAAAGTGACAGAGCTAGTAACGATTTCTGGTTCTGCTTCAGTGATACAGGGAACTTCAGCATGTCTAAAATAAAAATGATGTGTTGAGTGTTTGGGATTTATTACATGGCTTAATGCTTCCAAGCGGTAATGATGCTGGCCATGCTCTCGCTGAACATTTTGGAAACCTATTGTTAAAGAAATCAATGCCAACAAAATCTACTCTTTTCTATAGCCTAGCTGGGGAGAGTATGAGTAGCAATCACACTGTTTTTCAGAAAGACAGTTCTCCATATGAAGAAGAGAGCAAAGAAGAAACTGAGTCTCCAACAGAGCCATCAACACCAGTTTCTTATTTCAGGAAGAATCCTCCAGTTTTCAGGTTTATCCAAGAAATGAATAAGAATGCGAGGAAAATTGGGATGTTGAACACCAATTTTGATTCACCTCATGGACTTCCAAATAAATAAAAATAAATCAACTGTATTTGACATGGCTATACTCTGAATGGAGGCAGTGAAAATGAAGTCCTTCAATTCCATCACAAAGTGTAAAATGTACCAGTGCAATAACAAGAAAGGCAAGCAGACAGTAAGGAGTATGAAACAGCTAAAAACTAAGAAAGCTCACTACAAATGGGTCAATACTAATAAACTTCTTTCCAAGGGATACTGAGGAATCAAAACAGGTGTTACAAATTCAGCAGGTCCATGACTAGCAGCTTATATAGCAAAGAAGAAGAGATCTTACCTTGTGATCCTTCTTAACTCAAGATCAATGGATGCTCGTTGGGTTGAGGTCAAATAAAATAGTAGACCATTGCATTTATGAGATGCTGAAACCAAGAAAAGAAACAAGTGTTGCTCCTATCAGAAAGGCCTACCCCTTGAATCAATTTCATGAAAAGAAATCAATATCCTTTTTCAAATCCCAGAGTGATGAGAAATCGCTCTGCTTAAGAGAAAAGAGATCAGTTACGAAAAAAGAGAGTGTAGATTTGTTACTTCCTTCAATCGACCTAAAATAAATTATTTATCATAATCTAGAGACTTATCCCCTCCAGATGGAATTAAGAGGGCAGTATTGCTGAAGAAGCCAATATAAGTCTGAATTTTCTCTAGAAATTATGGTGAGCCTATTTCTCGACCTCTAAAAGATTGTTATACCCTCTAAATTTTCGGCCAGATTCTTATATGCCTTGCTAGACTTGTTTGTTACAAAATTTTTGAAGGTTTATGTAAAATTTACCCATGTTTTAACCAACAGGATTTATTCAATAACCCACCGACTTTCTGGGGTTTTGGGGTTTTGGGGTTTTGGGG